AATTGAAAGAATTTCTGTATACATGTACACACGCACATTCATATGCGTCTTTACTAAAATAAGCAGCATTGCAATTGCGATTATGTTGTTCTGTGCTGTGTGTAGATGCTGCTGTTTAATTTATTTTGCATTCAAAATTAATTGTTCGTATGGATATTTTTTTAATTTACTTACACTTAAAAGTGAGTTTCTATTGCGAAGTAGCCGCGTGAGTGCTTATGTCAATTTTGTTGTGCCCGATTGTTGAGAATGTCAACCGAACGCTAAGTCTTAAGACCCGAACGAGCAGTGACAAGCCGTAACTCGTTGAGTGCAGAACGTCGGTGTAGCTGTGTATGCATGTGCAGAGTGTATTTCGCTGTCACTCATTGTGCACAACCCGTTCTTAGTGCACAGCTCAGATCCACATATGAATTTTTTGGATGTGCGCACAAGTCGACCAATGTGTTTATCGGGAGCCAAAAATGTTTTTTTTTTTCAATTTGTGGGTGCAGCCTTACCTTTTTGGTAGACAGGCACAAAAGGGCTGCGACATCTAAAATGTATAGCTGACCAGTCAAGCATAAAGAGAAGAATTTACTGAAAAGTTAATAAGAAAAGTAAAATATTTATATTTTATTTTATATTTTTGTTGTTTGCTATTTCGCTTACAATAGAAAAACTTTTTAGTCGTATTTCTGTCAGGGTACTTAAACGTTGGCGCTAAAAGTTATTTTTCTATTATAAACCAATTGGCTTGTTATCTTGTCACAACTCAGGTCTTTTGAAAAATGACTTGCGTCAGTTTTAGTATTAGTATTGAGTCGTTATAATCTTCATTTTTAATATCAGTTTTCGCTTACTTCTGAAAGTAGTGGGTCAAGGTTTTGAAATTTAGGAATAGAATGGAAAACTTATTTAATTTCCTTTGAAGTCTTTGGCAAAGGCATTTCTTGAATTGTTTTAACTTTAAGCTTATTTGGCCGTATGCTTTGTGGACTTCTGGTGTGAACTAAGAAATCTGTATGTTTTCTTAATCTAATTGGCTTCTTTAGTTTTTCAAAAACTTTGAGTGAATTTTAATGTTCAACAAAAGATGTTGGGAAGACAATAATGGCTCATGCACCATTGGCAGGTTGCTGATGCCTTCATAAGACTAAACGGCATTCAATTACGAATAGTAATTTCCGTACTTGGTTGAACTTTTGTTTTACTGATTGATTTCTGGTCCATTTCAATCTGATGGTCATGGTTTTCTATAATTAGTATTTTCATTTTGTGTATTAATTTCGTGATTAACAATGGTCGTAAATTGTCACCCTTCCGATATTGGATATTGCTGAAATATCTAAGTAGTTTTCATAATTTTGTCGACTGTAGTAAGTAGTTCGAGTCCATTTGTGGAAATTTTTTATTTGCTCGTTTGCTTTAGTAGTAATAAAAAAAATTATTCTTGGAATTTGCGCTAGCTGCTGCTACAACGTGCGCACATAACTTTTGTGTTTCTTAGCCGATCTTATTGAAATTTTCGACAGTACATCTTATTGTAGAATAGAATATAGAATATTTGTGTATTCTCAAAAAGTCAATTGCATATAAATTGTGTCTTAAATTGATGGGCAATACAAATTGGATAATTAACTTGATTTAAAGCTTTGTGGAGGTAGCAGGGAGGTGGCGATAGGTATAAAATTAAAGATACTTGATATATATATACTATTCTAGAAGCTACATGTCAATTTTGGTGACTCTAGCTTATATATGTTACCAAAATTGCCCAAAAAACAGGATTTCGATATCGATTTTTATCGATTACTTGGGAACGGGACAAGTAAACTCGATCTGTGCGGGTACTAGGAGGACCTACAGCTTAAATTTCAAGTCTCTTGCTCTTATAAGTTCTGAGATCCTTGCGTTCATACATACGGACGGACGGACAGACGGACGGACGGACAGACAGACATGGCTAGATCGACTCGGCTGTTGATGCTGATCAAGAATATATATACTTTATGGGGCCGGAGATGCTTCCTTCTGCCTGTTACATACATTTGCACAAAAACATTATACCCTTTTTACCCATTTTTAATGGGTTCAGGGTATAAAAAAAGAAGCAGATTTTCCGAATAAAACCTTAAATGTGATTACCTCGAAGAAGAAGTGTGCATGAATTCGCGTCTTTTTATATAGAAACATACAAAAAAGTACTATCCAAGATAGTATTAGGCAGAACCATGAGTTTTAATTTATATTTTAAAACGAAGTAAATACAAAATTTATCAATAATCCAATAAAGTCTTGGTTACCATACTATTCTTATTTATATGTAGATTAGTAGAAACAAAAGATATTAATAGGGAAAGACCCATTATCAAACTAAGAAATGCTCCATATGGCCCCAAATAGTTTAAAAAATAACGCTAAGTTTAATTTGAAAGCTCATATAAGTGTTTAAGTAAAGCCGCGCCTGTTTTAAGATCAACCATCACATACACTGAAATACTTTTATATAAATACACTGAAATAAGACCCTTGGTTTATAACAATCAAATACCTTTACAAGCACAGAAGCCAAACTTCAGATACATTGCAACGTCAGGGATATTCTGGTAAACTTAAGTGAAAAGTATTAACTCTACTAAAACCCGAAATTTCATACAACTTATGGACGACAAAAAGCTACTGGCAAATAGTAGCTCTGAAACCCTCATTGTAACTATCCCCTGAGTACAGCAACAAGGCTAATACTAGAATTTTACGGAAAACACGAGGATCTACAGAGCTTTCTCGACGCAATCGAAATAGCTGATTAGACTAAAGGATCACATATAATGTTTGGCGGTATCAGTTTTCAAAACCAATCTTAAAGGGCACTTTATGGAAGCTGAAACAACACTCACATCAATGTCACAAAAGTAATATAGGCGCAAAATTGATGAACGTTCGGTAGAAAACTAAAACTTTGAACACGTATATGTCCAAAGCATTGGAAACTGCTTATATTGCTAAAAATCTTCTAGTGAGAGACCGGTATTGGAAACAATACTTTCCGGTGCAGTTGAAGCGGTCAGGTGCGGCCTGCCTAAACCAGTCGGATATTGATATATTGCCTTGAGTTAACATGTTGGATCCAGATTCGTGGATGCAAGCAAAAAAATTATCAGGAAAGAGTAAGATGGACTCAGCTGGCCAACAGATAGTTGAGCCTTTCAACAGGATCAAAGGGCAGTGAAATTAGGGAAAGCTCCGTAAAATTCGGTTTGGTAGCATCAAATGTTACCGCCAATATGTGCTAATCTGTTGACCAAAATTGTCTTTGTACTTGTTACTTTTCTAAATATATTTAAAAAAATATATGTATATATTAAAATATTGGAAAGTTTTTTAGGGTCGCCTTAGCTGTAAATCTATGAATTTCTACGTAGATTCTATATAAATTATATAGAAGAGCATATACTTAGCAAAAAAAGAGTAATCGATTTTTCATGTTCCAATTGACCCTCTATAAGAAAAGTAGGCTATTGTATGGAAAATTGTTTTTTTTATTAAGATATCTTGATCAAAATCGGCATTTAATAGTTTCACTATGCTACTCATATATACATATATACCAATATATTAATATCGGACCATTCAATCATATAGCTTCCTTAGGAACGATCGGTCAAAAATTAAGAATTTGTATGAAAAAACAATTTTTTTCAATAAATTTTGACCAACCCTACTGTTTTACTATGCTGCCTATATACATATATGCAAAAATCTACCAACATTGGGCCACTATATCATATAACTGTCATAGGAACGAGCGGTCGAAGAGTAGGTTTTCGTAAGGAATACTGGTTTATCATGATATCTTGATTAAGCTTGGCATTTATAAGATTCCGTTTGCTTTCTACATATATATGCTAAATCTTGTCTTAATTGGATCACTTTATCATATAGCTGCGATCGGCCGAAAGCAGGGTTTTGTATGGTTAAATATTCTGTTTTTCAACATATTAAAATCAAACTCAGCAGAAATAAATGCAATACCCCTTTGCAAATCTATGGTGTGCCAATTTTATCCTTTTCGTTGGGTATATAATTTGGTGTAATTCCACAAGTGAACACTCTTTTTAGTGCTAGTAATTTGAATATGCCAAATATGTCAAATCTGTGCATGGACAGGCAGCCCATCCCAATCATTTTAACACAACTACAAAATTGTTAATACATATATAAACACATTTGTAAGTGTGCGTGCTAGCTCGCCCGAAATAGGGTTCGTGCAAATTTGCCCACGTTCAGATACTCATACCAACAAGAAGCAAGTATAATGAAAAATTTGTACATCGATGGTCAAACCCTTTACTATGTGCTCACTTGAAAGCGTAGAGATTTAATCTTAGTGCTCTCATTGTATATTATCGCCGAAATAAAGTTTTCTATGTACTATACAGTAAGGCAAACTTTGTGACATTTTTAATTTTCCTGTTTTCTTCAGAATTCTTGGGCAAGCAGACGATTAATTTCACTTGCAGAAATACGACTTATGTTTTTTTTTATTTTAAGCGAAATTAGTTCCTACTGAATACAGCAAAAATAACATTATAAAAATGTAATTATTTAATTTATGTTATTAAGCTTTTAATAAATTAAAATAAGTTCGATTTTTCTTATGATGTCTGACTATGAGGTGCCGTAGGCACTAAAGACAGCGTCCACATATCCACCCAATGCATACAAATTTATGTAGATATCAGGGTTGTTTTCCAAAGCACTCTCAGCAATTGGGCATAACAAAATGAAAGTACTCATGGGGCTCTGACGCAACAGAAAATGGGATCACCACTTGTTGGTCGATTTGAAAACTTTATTAATTGAATCCTTAGATACATCGCAAAGTGTGTGTTAACTAATTAAAGCCGCTCATCTTTTTATTAAAATACTCTTGCGAATATAAAGAAATAACTGTAAAAATGTATGAAGATCAGTTTATATAAAAACTATAGTTTACTTGATCTGTTTCTGTCTTTTAGGATTCCATTGATCAGTGGCGAACAGTTTTTGAAGTATCGGGAATTATTGCTGTGTTGACTTATATGTTTTATCAGTGGTTCGGTACTGCCGAGATACAATCGTGGAATATCCTACGGCCAATCAGTAATCATCTTCAAGAAGCAGAAAAAATGTTTTCCAAGGAGAATGGAGGAAAACAGTTAAATACCAAGACAACATGAAAAATAATAATAATTTGTTACCATTATAATTAAATGTTCAGCCTTTATGTATAAAGTCTTTTTAGCATTTAGTTTCACTATAACTTGTACTTTTAATTAAGATTTGCATTATAAAAAACTGGTAATTGCTTAAAAGCGCATTTCCTGCAAAGTTTCTTAAATGGGGCTATACCCCCAATCTTTATGACGAGTGGAGTGGGTGCACTGTTATAAATATTATTTTTTAATATTCGAATCTCTATGCCATATATAAAACTGATTATCCTGACTGACTGACTGGCCTAAGCCGTAAGAGCTAGGATGCTGAAATGTTCACTGTAGTTCCTTATGTGATGAAGCTGCACGTTAAGGCGGGGTTTCGGGAAATTCCACCCGCATGTGTGGGAAAATCGTCCAATTTGCATCAAACTAATTTTCAAAGTTCTACATAAGAACTTAATGAATACGTGTCTCATCGATTTAGGAAATATTACCCACAAGCGAGAAATGGTTGTATGAAAATTTTTTGCTTAGCATCCGATCGGCTTAAAAATAATTTTTATCATTTATTTGCTACGCTCTTGGGTGGCAAATTCGGGTCAAAGGTTTTATTAGTTTAATCTTCAGCTTAAAGATTCTCCCCGCAGGATTTACATTGGCGGAAACCGTTGATTCCAACACTTGGTAGTATATTCGATGCACTTAAATAGAAATGGAGATGAAGATGGGTAGACTAAAATTTTCTACGGGCGTGTACTTACTGGAAAGGTAATATCTAAAATTTTTAGCACACAATTTTCCACGGACAAGGCAGTGCATTATCCGCTAGTCATTGTATAATCAGATTAGGTGTATCGCGACGTTTTTGGACGTTACTTGAAGCATTCACTTCATGCGATACGTTAATAGTATTGGGGCTGAATTTTGCAACCAGCTCAGCCACACTAAAAGAGAAAATTTTCCTAGTTGTATTATGCAACCGCATCGATGCAAAAAATCTTTTTTTAAATGTATGGTTTACTTCCAGGTTGATAAGCAAGGAGCATGGCTGAATGGTATAATTAGAGTGCCAAATGTCAAATGCACGTAGGTACAGCGGTAAATTGTATATATTTATATGGATTATATTAATTAGATTCGTACGCTTCAATTTCAAAATTTATAATTTGAGGTTGAAAATGTTGTAGGTGAACAATTGTTATCAATATTTATATGTGAAATAAATATGTGTGCAGCTTTGGCACTTACAATTATGTTTTTATTGCTTTGAATCTATCAATATTTATCCGCGTAATGTTGTTTGTATATGCGAAATAAAGTGGAACGCATAAGTTTTCTTATGTAGAAAAATGGAACGATGGTCCAGCGACCACCGTCGATTTTTTAGTGCAAAAGTCGTTGAAGATAACTACAAAGCGTCTGGAAACCAAGGCGCACAGATAAGTAAGTACTTCGACCAAATGGTCGCTACTACTACTTCTACAGGGTAGGGCATGAAGTACGCACACACACTGAGTCGGGGTTGATCATGCAAACGACGGGCCGAGGCCTCGAACCACATACACTATCAGACAGCAAACTCAAAATACCTGCTCTCGGGCCGTGGCGTCGCACCGCATATACTACCAGACAGCAAACTCAAAGTACCCGCTCTCGGGCCGTAGCCTCGCACCGCTCACACCACCGGGCAGCAGCCTCGCAACACATTCTACCGGGCAGCAGCCTCGCACCACATTCACTGCACTTCAGGTTGGGGGAAAAGGGTTATGTTGGACATCGTCAAGTTCCGATGTTAGAGAATAAGGCTAACAAGAAATAAAAACAAAACTAGCAGACTTTCTTTTTAACTTTCCTTCCTTATTAATCAAACACTATCATACTCTGTTTCCTAAGCTAGGACCCTGCCACACTGTTTGGAGCCCTAGCGCTCCGCTATACACTCTGTGTTTTTCTTCACTCGCTTATCTCTTGCGACACACGTCTACTCACCCTGGTATTCGCTCCAAAAGTGCCAGCACGCTCGCAGGCGAGCCGTGCGCTTGCTCCGGCCGCTCAACTTCGCCGAGAGCTTTCGCAACTTCACCTCGGAGCTTTCGCTCTTCGCCGCCGAAATGAAGTTGCGCTCTCGAAGACGGTGTTGAGCAACCGATCAGCAACGCACGGTTGCTGCGGCGGCCGGCAGTTAAATTCAAACTTAACTTAAACTGGGCTTCTTGCCCTTAACCAACTTCAATACTTTAGTACCTTGCCGTAACCATTCTTATAACTAATACAATGCTTATATACGAAACAATGCTTATACCCTATAACTATAATTATGAACTGTGGGGTGGCTACTTTAGTGGCCGCCTCACACTCCCCCCTTACTTCGACGACGATACCGTCGCTTCCTCGGCGGCATTTATGGCGACGCCTTTTGGGTTCCTCAACTAACTTATTGCTTATCCGTTAATTATGCTATTCCCTGCCCTAGCAGTGCAGCTCACAATCTAGGAAATCTACTATCTATATTTAACTTATTCTTAACTAATTCTTCTGCGCGTGCTCCTCTTCCACGTCCTCTCTGTCTTCGGTCATCTCTTGGTGAAACGGCTTCAGCTGCGAGATATTGGCCACCCTCTTCTTCCGTTCGCCTGGCCTCACTAGGCGCACAATGTTAGGCGACACGAACTTGTTGACCCGATAGAGGCCATCGAATTTGGGTGCCAATTTCGCAGCGAAGCCCTCAGCGGCGTTGGACAGTTGGTGCTCCCTACCCTGCATCAGGAAAGCGGGACAGAATCCTGTCGAGTCCGCCACACTTGTGTTGACCGCAAACGATATCTCCGGCAGGAGTTCGTCCCATGAACATTGATGGCCTTCGATAAACTGTGCTATCATGGTCTTTACGGTCCTGTTCGTCCTCTCGGTGGGATTCTCTTGCGGACAGTACGGTGCGGTGTACTGTACCTCTACACCCAGGGACTCCAACAACGACTTGAAGCTACGGCTCGTAAACTGTACCCCGCTGTCGCGAACTTCTTGGGCACCCCGAATCTACTCAAAATCCGCTCTCGGAATGCTGTCTGCAAGTGCGCCGCCGTAGCTCTCCTGAGTGGGACCAGTTCCACCCATTTCGATGGAACACCAGTAATATCGTGTTGCCATGTCTCGACCGTGGAAGGGGTACGACGAAATCCGAGCAGAGTACCGCCATCGGCTCTGCTACCTGTCTCGCCAGCATGCGACCAGCCGGCTTGAGTTGCTCGCTCTTGAATTTATGGCAGATTTCGCAGCACTTCACATACTTGGCGGTTTCGCGGTACATCCCCGGCCAGAAGTATCTCTGGGCAAACCTCGACACGGTTTTCCTCGCGCCTTGATGCCCGGCCGTGAGAGCATCTTGACACTCTTTCAATACCCTTTGTCGCTGACCAATAGCTACACAAAGCTTCCAGGGAATATAGTTCTCACCGACCGTCCGGTGGCCCAAATGCCTATATAACTGCCCATTTTCTTTTATGTAGTCCGGGAACTTGGCTGGCTCTTCGGCGATTCTAGCACGCATACTCGCGACAGATTTGCAGGGGGCCTCGGCCATCACTGCTTGCTGACAGGTCTCTAGAGGATGCCTTGATAGTGCATCGGCCACGACGTTGAGCTTCCCTCGAGGGTAGTGCACGTCAAATAGGAACTGTTGCAGTTCCAGTGACCATCGCGATATCCTTCCAGACGGGCTCTCGATTGAGCTGAGCCACTTGATTGCCAGATGGTCCGTTATCACGTCGAACCGGTACCCCTCTAGGTAACAACGCAACTTCCGGATCGACCATACGATTGCCAGGCACTCTTTCTCGGTGGCGGAATAGTTCACCTCAGCTTTCAGCAACTTTCGGCTCGCGTACGCTATCACCCGCTCCTGTCCCTCGATCGTCTGCGTCAGCACTGCGCCGAGGCCATACTCACTCGCGTCAGTCTGCAAGATGAATCTGGCGGAAAAGTCTGGACAAGCCAACACAGGGGCAGTCGTCAAGCTGTCCTTCCTCCTCCTGTTCTTCATCCCAAGCTCATTTCCGCCCCTTCTTTAAGAGCGCCGTCAGCAGCTGTACCTGAGTCGCGAAGTTGGGAACAAAACGCCTGTACCATGACGCCATCCCGAGACACTGTCGTAACTCCTTACAATTAGTCGGTGCCCTAAGGTTACGTATCGCCTCCACCTTCTCCGGATCGGTACGTATCCCTTCCCCACAAATAACATGCCCCAGGTAGACCAACCTCTGCCTGAAGAAGCTGCATTTTTTTCTATTCAGCCTGAGATTTGCCTCCCTTAGCCGGCGGAATACCTCTCTCAAGTTCTCTACATGTTGTTCTTTCGTTGCCCCTATTATCACGATATCGTCTAGGTAGGCGAACGCATGAGGCTCCATCTCCGGCCCTATTACCGTGTCCAAGGCTCGCAGAAAGGTCGCACACGCTGAATGTAAACCAAATGGCATCACCAATTGAAAGAGACCACTTGGCTCGCTGCCTGGCTTCCCGAGTGTTCCGCCCTCTGCCTCATGACCGTCTCGTATTCCACGGCCATCTGCGTAAGCTGGGACAAGGTGGAGAAATCTTGCCGTCGCACGTAGAGCTTGTATTCGGGGGCGGCATTCTCTTACACCCAGTGCAACTCCTGCGCCGGCTCGTATCTGGCGTGATGCATTAGAGCCCTCAGGTCTATCAAGTATTCCTTGAATTCCTCCTCAACGCGCTGCCTGCGGGACCGGATTTCGTCCTCAAGGCAAGCGATCAAGGGCATTACCATATGAGATGGCGCGCTCCTCTAGGTGGTCTAGGAACCCAAGGGGGTCGGAGCGGCTATCATACCTCATGCCCCACTACCGAACTTGTTCCGGAACGTTTGCAAGTGGTCTTACCTCCGACTGAGGGTATGGCCTAGTATTGTAGGGAACACTTCCCGGTTCGGCAGGGGACCGTCCTACCTCTACATTGACCGCGGTTGCTTGGCGGTCTTCGTTTCTCCCGAAAGCATGAGCCTCCTCCACACCCGATACGGCTAAGCTAGGGGTGGGCGCCTGCGATCGCGCGTACAATTGCGAGCTCCTTAGGTCAGGCTCCGACTTTTGACTTGGCCGTCCGCCAAAGTCGGGTGGGACGCCCCAGGATGGCGGCTCCAG